CCTCCTCCTCCTCCTCCTCCAAGTCCCGCACCGGCGCAGCCCTGCCGAGAGGGAGGGAGGCGGCCGGCAGGGGGCGCGCGGTGGCTGCGCGCAGCCGGGCCGGGCGGGGAGCCGGCTCTGGGTCGCGCGCGGAGTTGGGTCCGCCGCGCTTCTCGGGCTCGCTGGACGAGCGGTTCCCGTGGATCTCCCGGCTCTGAAGTACAGCCTGTCCCGCTCTGCTGCCCTGGCTTGATTCAGCCGGCAGTGGGGCCGCCAGGAAGCCAGAATTTATTCCGGCTTTCGTTGGAGTCCGTAAAAGAAAAGCCTCTGGCCAAAGGCGGTCTAAACATGGGTGTGAATTAATAATGCCCAGCGAAAAGGTGTTTTCGAAAACAGCCCTTGACATGGGGCCCTCGGGGGTCTCCGAGCTTGGCTCTTTCCTTGCAAACGCCTCGTTGCCCGGCTAGGTCACTCTTCCGTGCTGGAAAGGCTGGGGTTTGCTCTCTGTGTATGCGCTGTGGCCTGCCCTGCCAGGGTCGGTGGGGCTGGGGTTCTGCTTTGCTCCTCTGGTAGCTCCTCGATTAGGGCATTGCTCACTGCTTGGTCGTGTGCCTGGTGGTGATCTTGGTGGGTAAGCAGTGTATAGACAGAGCAAACCCCTTCCCACTCAACAGGGGCTGGGGGGGGATTCTTATTTATTTGTTTCTTCATTCGTTCCTGAAAAGCAGGTGGCCGTCTGCGTGGCTGACAAGAAAAACGCAGGGAAAACACACCAAAAAGTGAACACAACTCCGGAAAATGCCAGCCATGCTTTATGAACGAGACGGTGACACCCCTCCAGGCCTGGGCCTGGGGACCAGCCAGCTTGGAGGGCTGATTGCAAGAGGGCCGGGATGCAAACCGGAGGAACCGCAGGGGCAGGGCCTTCCAGAGCGCAGGCCCTGTGACCCTGGCAGGGGCTTGGCCAGATGACCTCCAAAGCCCCTGCAACGGTTCTCTTTTACCCGTTTCCGATTCCCCCAACCCACCCGCGCAGGGGAGATCTTGTCTGATCTTGTCGGAGACGCTTACTCTGGTTACAGTTCTGGCCCGGACTCAGGTTTCTTTTATCCGTCCATTGTCTTGGTTGTGGCTCTTCCTCCTGTCCCTCAAGGCCACTCCTTCTTCCCATTACAGGGGGAAGCAGGCAGCCGCAGGTAGTCGCCCTGAGCTGTGCAGGGCTGAACCCTTAATTCCCTCTTTCCTCCCTGGTGCCCCCTCAGCAGGAGCAGCAAACCCCACGGGCGACAATGGGGAGGGCTGTGACGACTTCCTGGCAGACGTCCCGGAGGAGGGTCCGGAGGTCTCCCATGCTGGGGCGGAGGAACACGTCGCGCATCAGATGGTACAGGCGGGCGGGAGGGTGGCCCACGGTGGAGGGGCTGAGAGCCCTGCAAGGGCTCCCTTGGTATGAGCCGTCAAAGGCAAGAGCATCAAAAGAAGTCCGTCTGCGCTCCCCTGAAGATGGAAAAGCTTCCGGTTGTGGAAATTGTGAGAAAAGCAGGAATCCCAGAAGATCTCCTGGTGCTCGCGAGGAGCTTCTCTGCAGGCCAGGAAGGCCCGTCCGGAGGGAACCCGCGATGCCGACAAGCTCCAGGCGGGCGAAGGAGGGCAGCCAGGCTGCATCCCCCCCCTTTATGCC